TTAAATTAATTTCGTTGGGATTAAAAATCAGGTTGACCTGTGGTCGTAGATTAAATATAACCATAGTACAGCTAAATTTATCGTGTTAAATAATTCTTCTTACACGAATGAAAAATGTATTCATCGTTTGTTTGTTATAATATCGTGAAATGAATTGTATTACACATTTTCTCTATTCACACTGAATTTAAAGATTATAACGATTAAAAATCAAGTTGATCTGTGGTCATTTATCAAGAATAATCATAATAAAGCTGAAATTATTGTGTTAAATAATTCTTCTTACACGAATCAAAAATGTATTCAACGTTTGTGTGTTATAATATCGTGAAATGAATTATATTACACATTTTCTCTATTCACACTGAATTTAAAGATTATAACGATTAAAAATCAAGTTGACCTGTGGTCATTTATCAAGAATAATCATAATAAAGCTGAAATTATTGTGTTAAATAATTGTTTTAACACGAATTAGGAATTTATTCAACGTTTGCTTGTTACAATACCATGAAATAAATTATATTATACGTTTTCTATATTTACACTAATTTATTTCATGGTATTGTAACAAGCAAACGTTGAATACATTTTTCATTCGTGTAAGAAGAATTATTTAACACGATAAATTTAGCTGTACTATGGTTATTTTTAATCTACGACCACAGGTCAACCTGATTTTTAATCCCTACGAAATTAATTTAACCACGAGTAAGTAACGAGAACGCTAAAACCTATGTTTCCATTGAAGAATATTGTAAAAACGTATAAATTGTTATATGCAATGTTATAACAAATTGTCGGAAGTATAAATTTTTAATAAAATTGTGAAAATTGATAAATTATACCGTGTTACGATATCGGAAATCTCCCGCGAAAATCTCCCGCGAAAATTTCCCGCCTGACCTAACCGACGATTTTGCTAATGACTTTGGGGAGAGGGTACCGCAGGTATATAAGGACCCGCCGATGTCCCGCGAAATCATTTACCCTTTATACTGGGCCCTAGACACTTCGCGGCGTATTTTGACCTGAAGGTTCTGAGATGTGAATAGAGTGGTCGGGGGCTACTAGCTAGTCTATGTCCACCCTGTACACACTCAGCCTTCTTGTAACACTTGTATACATTAGAATCAATTAGAATTTCTATTACTAATTATTAAACAAATTTTAACAATTACCGGCACTCGCTAGGCACGTAATATCAGACTTTAAATACTCGACTTCGAACTTCGGTTTAGTCATAATTCTATTAATGTTATAATAACGTATAATTTATTAATTTTCACAATTTTATTATTAATTTATACTTCCAAAAATTTGTTAAAACATTACATATTATTATTTATACATTTTTGCAAGTTTCTTTGACAAATAAGTACGTTTCAACGATCTTATTACTTTCTCGTTGTGAAATCAAGTTCGGAGGATTAAAAATCAGGTTGACCCTTGGTCGTAAATTTAAAATAGCCATAGTGAAGGTGAAATTATTATTTTAAATAAATGTTTCTATACGAATTAAGAATCTATTCAACGTTTGTTTGTTGCAATACCGTGAAATAAATTGTATTATATATTTTCTCAGTTTAGACTGAATTTAAAGTTCGTAAGGATTAGAAATCAGGTTGACCTGTGGTCGTAGATTAAAAATAGCCATAGTGAAGGTAAAATTATTACGTTAAATAATTGTTTTTATACGAATTAAATATTGATTCAACGTTTATTTGTTGCAATACCGTGAAATAAATTGTATTATATATTTTTTCTGTTTACACTAAATTTAAAGTTCTGTTTACATGTTATAACAATTAGAATGTAGACGTTTTGCCGTTTCACGGTTTTTCCTCTGTTAATTATGTGTTTATAAATCATTTCAAACTAAAGCAGCACCATGCCCACCCTTAATTAAACCGTCTCAGTAGTTTACCGTAATTAATAATCTATTTTC